GGTGAGTGGTCAAATCTAACAAATTTCCTCAATGACCGTCTCCACCCGAAATCCTAAACACAACCCACTGCTCGGCGGTGTGCGGTCTTGTATTGTTGGGGTCTGAGTGGTTTCCAAGGGGCGCTGTAGTGCCATGTCTAAAGCTCCAGGGCGTGTCCTCCGATCCCCTTCAACCTCCACTTCCAAGGCAGAATCTGGTCTCCAAGCAGGTTTGTCGGCTTTGGTGAACTAATGTTTACGAAGACTTGGGACAGCAGAGCTTCAGTCAATGGTGAAGTTCTTCAGGTCTCGGGTGGGGTCCCTGGAGAGATGAATGGATGTCCTTCCTTCACTGAATGGTGAAGTTCTTCAGGTCTCGGGTGGGGGCCCTGGAGAGATGAATGGATGTCCTTCCTTCAGTCCGGGTGAGGACAGCGGTGGTGGAAATTTGCCTCTTTGCTCTCAGTTGTCCATCCTGCACTCCCCCTGCTGTGTTGGGCAGCATTTCACAAGTACACCTGAGTAGAATGTCTGAACGTTTCAGTGTATCCAGGATGGCCAGTCATCGTCCTTCAGCCTCCTTTACACACGTCGTATGATGAAGCCGGGCTCTGGAAGTTCTGGAAAGTTCCTTGTCAGGAGAAGACAATACAAACTCTGCTTAATGGTTGCCAGAGTCTCAGCGGGGTACACTGGTCACATGAGCTGATCCTTGGGGTGATACTGGGGTGACCAGTCCCTAGGAGCGGCACGTTCCCCGGATGTTCGGGGTTTAATGTTTGTAGAACATGTTGTCTGGCTGTTCTAATGTTCTCAGATCTCCTCGCAGACCCTTCCGCCCTCGCCCCCCACCGACGCAGACCTCTGAAGGAGGCGATGGAGATGGCGATGCCAAACTCTCCAATAATGAAGCACCACGCCCGGAACCTCAACGTCAGAGGAATCGCCCGTATTTCCAGCGTCGCAGGCGAGGGGCCCCGGGGCAGGCTGCATCCCAGGTGAGTTTTCTGGTCCTTTTGTGAAGGTTTCGGGCGATTTCGTGATGTAACCTGAACTTTTCTTTAGGGTGAAGGGAAAGATTCCGCAGAACCCAGCCAAAGCCCCTCAGATGTTCCTAAACCATCCGACGGCCCTGCAGAGCCTGGAGGGAGCCAGGCTAATGTAAGTGTTCATCTGTTGTCATGACTGCCCGTGGCTTGTCCGAGTCCAGACTCATCTTTAGACACAGGAATTTGGCTTTCTAGCAAGCCCCGCCCACTGAGCTAGGCTTCTGATGGCCGAGGCTGATAAGTGGCTTCTACTTTCCATAGGCCTCAAAATCTGACAGTGTGGGCTACAGACCTATAAACTTCACGGAGTGCTCAGCTGGTCGGGGGGTTGGTCCAAAATCTGAGGCTAGTGCAGAGGTCGTAGTTCAAGGCCAATGTATTGTAGTGAGGGCGAGGCGTGGTGATCTGGTGGAGAGGATGGATGTTGCTGTGGTAGTAATCTCAATATTTACTCTGTTCAGGCCTCTGCTCCGAGCCCACCCGTGGCAGCGGATGTCCCCGCTCTGCAGTGATCCCTCATGTACCAGCCGCATCTGTTATCAGGTATTGTAGAAGGGGCAAGTGTCCATGTATCAGCGGTCTGTTGGGTGTTAGAGATGGGGGATGGGTTTCTCTCCTGTGAACACTGCCTGGCCTTATATTTTTTCTTTGTAGTCTCCCCATTCCTACCATGCTGTGGTCTCCAGACCCTGAGGAGTCTCCCCATTCCTACCATGCTGTGGTCTCCAGACCCTGAGGGCTCTCCCCATTCCTACCATGCTGTGGTCTCCAGACCCTGAGGGCTCTCCCCATTCCTACCATGCTGTGGTCTTCCAGACCCTGAGGGCTCTCCCCATTCCTACCATGCTGTGGTCTCCAGACCCTGAGGGCTCTCCCCATTCCTACCATGCTGTGGTCTCCAGACCCTGAGGGCTCTCCCCATTCCTACCATGCTGTGGTCTTCCAGACCCTGAGGGCTCTCCCCATTCCTACCATGCTGTGGTCTTCCAGACCCTGAGGGCTCTCCCCATTCCTACCATGCTGTGGTCTCCAGACCCTGAGGGCTCTCCCCATTCCTACCATGCTGTGGTCTCCAGACCCTGAGGGCTCTCCCCATTCCTACCATGCTGTTGTCTTCCAGACCCTGAGGGCTCTCCCCATTCCTACCATGCTGTGGTCTTCCAGACCCTGAGGGCTCTCCCCATTCCTACCATGCTGTGGTCTCCAGACCCTGAGGGGTCTCTAATCTGCCATGTTGGCTCTGACTCATTGTCTTTTCCTCCCCCCCAGGTGCCGCGGATTTCCATCTTACTGCTGCACACATCTTTGGAGCACAACGTGGGATGAAATGGAGCGTGTCACGGTGTATGGGATTGTTTGCACGTTTGGACTTTATTGCACTGACCTGTGTTGTAGTAAAGATGGAAGATCACAATCTGTCGCTTTGAGTTTTGTCTTTGGCGTGTAATGAAGGTCATGGGTGGTGTCAGCTGGTCCTGACGAGGGGATCTGTCGGGGGTAGAAAACATGGATGCACCTGGTGATCCGGATCCCCCTCCCTTGTGCTGGAGTAAATACTTATCTCTGCTCTGCCACCATGCTG